TCCAACAGTTAAGAACACGAATAACAGACCAAAAACTGGCCCTCAACGGGTTGCCACACTCAGAAAGGACCGTCAAATCCACCTTCATCAATCGATTTAGAACTGTAGCAAAAACTGCTGCTACAATTGCTGATTGAAGAAATCAGCATAAAAATGCACAAATTGTTCTCGAAAGACTGATAGGAAATGGTGTTCGTACACGAATCCGTACATTGGAAATCCACTAGCGTTGAGACGTCGCACAGTACATATTGTTATGTCGCTTGACTTTGGGGGCGACAACAATTACATCAACTTGTCTTTTCAATTTGCAACATAGAACATGTTTGATTTGTATCACAACACACTCTAAAATCACTAAATAAAAGGTTTAAACTGAAAACTTATAAATCTGAATATGCGTTTCTTTTTTTCTTTTTTTTGTTGAGTATAGTTAAAAATGAGGACCCTAAATTCCTATCTTAAAAGGGCCAACATTTTGGAAGCCTAATTTTTTTTTTCATCTGGCATCATAATAGTATAAGATTTTAATAAAATTAATTCTAGGCAATAAATGAAGCATAAAAAAGAAGACCTTGATATTTTACCAAATTGGATGAAATGAAAGATATGGAGATAACGAACAGTACCCAACTTCAAAAGTTCAAAAGTCTATTAAACAATACATAATTTGGAGCAAAGCAGAGAAGGACCTCTTGAACAGTAGTGGAGGGATCAGGTGCCATGGAGTGAGCATCACCTGCTGACAATTCACATCATCAATGGGAAATAACGGGAAAATCGGTCGTCAATTCAGTATGTAAATAATGGACTAACAATAAGTATTCAGCAATTGACTTAATGTACACGTATTTACTAACGAGCTTAAGGTCAGTGTATCGACCAAAGAACTTATGAAATGATGAGTTAAACAAAACTGCTGATACTTTTTTCAGTAACTTTTTTAAAAACCCTTGATTTAGAAATTGTTCATAAGCAGAGCACGCTCTTTCGGATCGAATCAAAAGAGAGATATTGAGATGAATGTTGAACGACTATAAGCAATATAAAAATCAATTATTCTTATATCTTTCTTTATTGAATTTAATATGTGAAAAATGAATTAGATAGTTTACACCAACAATATGTACTGATATCAGATGACAAAGGACCGTTCACGGTAGCTCAGTCGGTAGAGCGCTCGCTCCGTGATCGGAAGGTCGTGAGTTCGAATCTCGGCCGCGACTGACCTAAGTCGATAAAAAATGGGTAGAAACTGTTCCTTCGCCATGCGCTCGGCACTTTGAAGTGAAAGTTGCCGGTCCTTCGGATGAGAACTTAAAAACCAAGGTCCCGTGTCAGCGACAGGCGTTGTCACGATAAAGATCCCTCACTGCTCAATGGCCCTGAGTTGCGAGTAAAGGTAAAAATTTGAAGCCCTTCACCGGCATACGGTGACGTCTCCATATGCGTTAAAAATTCTCTAGAGGGAATATATACAATCAATCAATCAATCAATCAATCAGATGACAAAGCTCTTTACAACATTGTCTTCGTTTGTAAAGCTCAATATTTAAATTGTATCTTAGAGGGACTTAAATTGAATTCTGCAAATAGTTATCCAACTTATAATTATTGTTCCCTTTCTAAGCAGGAAGTCTTCAAAATCACATGTGAGCCTTAAATATTTTAAATGTTCCCACTAATCAAACTTATTTTTGATTTATAATACCTATACCGGATTCATAAATTACGTATTAATCTTCACAAACAGTGATGCATGGCGGTTCTAATAAATATTCTACCAAGGCTTTTTCTATACACGTCCCTTAAATATTAGCAGTGGTAAAGGAGAAACTTCAGAAATACTGTACAATATATTTGAAAAGTAGAGTAGTGTTATTCAGACGTAGATACTTATAATTTCCTAGGATCTTTTAGAAAAATTCTATCAAAATTGATGATATCAAAACCTCTGCCTATTTCAACACTTTATACAACCATCCCTCAGTATGGATCAAATAGTCCCAAGCTTTTTGACATCAGAGACAGCTATTTAAAATAAAAATGAAACACATAAATTTGCTAACCTTGTCATCGATCCTTAACAAATTATATTATTATTAAAAAGCATTCTGAATGTACTCAAAAGTACTCCAAAGTTGATATCTAAAAGGGGCTTGAGATTCTGATTGGCAATATCTATGTAGGTTTTGGAAACCAGGTCTTCCAACAACTGTCAGAATACCCATAGACACTAATTGCGCCCCGGTAATAGCAGACCTCTTTTGTATAGTTATATGATGTATTCTAAGAAACTTGTACATGAAAAGAAAGAGTCTCTTGATAAGGCTTCAATTCAACATTTAGATATATCGACGACGTTTATTAATTAACAATATTAATTTTCATTCATACTATTCGATATATCCATTTTGGCCGGAAATTAAAGATACCAAGACTCTGAACGCCTGTTTCTAATTTGCATATTTACAAAAAAAAGACGCTAATGATGACCTTAAGACAAAACTGTATAATAAACACGATAATTTCAACTTTTCTATCGTCAACATCCATTATTTATGTAGCAACATAACATTATCATCTGCATATGGGGTTAATGTCTGCCAGTTGATTCGAAATGCAAGAGCATGTTCTATGTAAGAACAGTGTCTTCAACGAGGCATGCTATCGAAATAAGTTGATCAAACAAGAATATCAAAAGACTCGCTTGAAGTCAACATTTCGCAAATACTATAAAATGACTTTGTCAACATATACAATCTATTATTGTCAAATGTTGACTGACATTTTTCATACAAATTGTAAGGCCATTATCTTCACACTTAATTGACGACGGATTTTTTCCGTTTCCCCGATCATGACAAGAAGCACACTTGGTGAGTGTAACCGGTCGGCAGGGGACACTTTTATAGTACCTGATCCCACCTCTGTTTTTCTTCTTTTAAATATTTTCAAACGGAAGACCTTCTACTGATTCTGATGGTAAAGATTATTCCTCTTTTTTTTCTTCTACTTCCTAGACGCTAACTTTGAAGCCTCATATCTCATCCATTTCTCAATTGATTCCGCTCAAATTTTCAGAGGTAGTAGAAGTTACTAAACTCTATCAGAATGCTGTCTAAAATTTCAAAAAGTCACTTCCGGTTTTGAGTTATTGCCCTTTAAACGAAAGTTTATAGGCTTTCGTTTCCAGACAAAGGCTCAGAGACGGCTAAAGCTGGAGCAGAAATTTTATTGATTTAAGATAATAAAAGAATTGAAGTTGTGCACATCGGTTTTTGTTTTTCAATTTCTCTATTCAAAATGGCGCTACATAGGGGTCAAAAATTAGAACGCTTAAAAGAGCCAAAAATTACTCATATTTTGCTTTTTATCTTCCTAACTAAAAATATTTTGTTAAAATGTATAGAACATAATTTCTGCAAAATTAGACGATCTTTCAAATGATATCTCGGAAAAAGGGCTGACCCCTAAATTAAGGGATCTAGAAGGGCCAAAAGTTTTTTCCAGATATCTCAAAAAGTATTAAGAATTTGTTATACATCAAAGAAGCAATCAAAGAAGCAAAGTTGTTGAAAATCTTGGGTAAAATCTACTGATGACAACAAAATACGTCATGTGACGTCACTTCCGGTCAAACCGGAAGTAGTCCTAAACTGCATATTTTTGCCGTTTTTGACATGTTTTGGGGAAATATTTGTTACTGGAATCATAAAACTTAATTTTCCGTCCATCGACGTCACTTCCGATCAAACAGGAAGTAGCAAAAATGGCTTACTTTTGCAATTTTCAACATAGATTTGGAAGATTTAAATCATAAGAGACGTCATTTCTCTTTAGTTACTTCCGGTCAAACAGGACGGAAGACCTACTCGTTGCTTTGCAACGAGCTTTGCTCTAGTTAAATTCTATAATTGTAGCAATAAGAATGTTTAATCCAGTGCAAATTTCGGTACTGACAAAAAACAGCATAAATTACGAAAAAATCCATCTATATCTAACATTTATCGAAACATGCAATCATCTCAATTTATTATGCTGTCTTAATTTCTCCAATGTGTATAGAACATTCACACTTATAAGCAGTTAAAATACAGTGTGACAATAAATGAAAATTAATCAATATGCAATTTTATAATTGAAAATATCTTATCATCAATAAATCATAATAGTCAAGGACTTTTACATTCTATGATGGTTGCATTATGAATTCTAATCGAATTCAAATTTCGGAATTGAAAAGGAACAGTAATAAATTACAAAAATATTCCGGATATGTAGGGTCTTTTCTTAGAGACATTGAATGTTGTTCTTAGGAGTGAATATGCTCGGTATATATCATACGAGGGGCATTTTCAAAGTCCTGCGAACTGTGTAATAAAAAATTAACCGTTTCACGTCGTTTTGTAATTTTTATGACGTAATATCTGCGAAAATGACGTCATAGTTTAGAATGCTTAGCATACTGAAAAGTCCCGTTTTTATCCACATTAAACAATTTTAAAAGTTTTGCCAAAGGCTTATTAGAAAAAATATTTCAAAGAAAACTTTTATTTGCAAAGAAGTAGAGTAGGACTATGGTACCGTTTATCAAGAAATCCATATTTCATTGTATGGTTTGTTTACTAGTACGGTTTATGCCCGGTTATGCTATCATCGGCATTCATTTAGGATTTTAAGTTACATGATACGACTGGATTTTCGGTCGTTTATGAAGCTCTCCACTGTATGAAATTATACATTTTTTGTATAAAACTGAAGTATATTAATGCAGTTTTCAACAAATATATTTTGAGTAACAGCACTCTTACCGTTTTCAAATAAAATGTTCAAAAGTCTTGCCTCTGACTTGTTTCTTTGCGTATTGTTTCTAATTGAATTAAAATCGGCGCCCAAGAACTCACTACTGCTTTTGACTTTTGACTCCAAAAAATGGTTTATAAGTTACTTTAACATGTAAAATCTTATTCAATTTCCATGAATTAAATTTTGCGAATATGTGGAGGTACGGCGGGGTTACAACTGCGCCTGCGCCATTTTGGATTTTACGAGAAAATATGGGGCACAACAAACTTAACTTCTCTTGAGCCTTCATCAATCCCTCAAATCTCGTTAAAACACCTGACGAATTGATGCCATCAACGTTTGTAACACGATCGTCTATTTTTCTTTGATTGTCAACTTTGCTTTTTTCTCACAGTTAGGTCTGTTTTACGCAATATTTTGAGCGAGATTCGATAAAAACATGCGATGTTTGACAATCGCTTAAACAATTTCAGAACAAGAAGATCGGCGATATAGAACACCAAATGATAGATTGTAGTCTATGTAAACATTCCACCAACTGGCATTTGCGTCCGATAGCTTGCGCCCGAGTAATGAGCAAAAGTTTTTTTTTTTAATTTTGATTTGATCAAATTGTGTCTTTTGTTACGTCATTTGTATGGCCAGTATCGTGAGCATACGGAATTATGACGTCATTTTCGGAGTTATTACGTCATAAAAATAACAAAGTGACGTCACAATAAGTGTATATTTTTCTGATCTTTCCAATGATATCACCTCGATAATTTCCGTGAAACGGTTAATTTTTTATTAAACAGTTCTCAGAACTTTCGAAATGCCCCTCGTAATATTTCCATTTCTTAATGTTTTCTCTTTAAAAACTCTTTGAAAGTTGCGTGAGTAAATTGTCTCTTGATAATTCAATCTGAATGTTAATTTCGCCAGTTGAAAGGTCGGGAGCCTATTATGCATCTCATGCGGCTGTCTTTGTATCTGCAGTCCATGGGCGGAGACAATTGAATTTAGGGAGGCCTACTGTATTTTGAATCTGTTAGACAACACTTTTCAATTTATATTTACAGCCTTATCTCACTTATAAATATAAATATAAGAAACCACTGTCTAGTTTGTTTGGTATGCCAGGGACATAAACTCTTTCACGATAGTTGGAAACTTGGGATAATTTATGCATAACGGGCTTTGCTTTTACTAAGCACTGGTGGAATATTTTCTCACCATGCGATGTAGTATGCACTAAGCTCGAGTGGAATACTTTGATTCTTGATTTGAATTGATCAAGTTTGTTTTTAACGAAACAAGTTTGTTACACCGGAAAAAAATATCGTTATTTCTTGATGGAAATAAAATTTTTAATTCTTTTTATTTACTGCAATATTTTAACATTGAAATTGAATTGTTAAAGCCAATGATTTTTCCAATTTTGCTCTCTCTCTTACGAGATCAGTACATACCACGTCATGGTATGACGTGAATTTTTCTAGTCGGCATGAATTTTAATGCTGTTTTCGGGTATACAAAAATTAAGACAAGCATGCCATATGAGGTTTTGCAGATAAATTCTTGTAGGAGAGAATGGTAATTTGTTATAGTTTTCCAATGCATTTTTTTCTGTCAGTGAATGACTGGGTAGGGGTTACACCCTGTCTTTTGGAGCTAGATACCTTGTGTTATTCTACAGGTTAAAAATATTTTAGGAGATTTCCTTTGTAGGAAGTTTACAGTAGGCTATAGATACGAGTAGTTGAAAGAGTGTTGAAAGAGGCCCTAATGTTAGTTAATCTTAACTATGTCAAAGATCTGTATTTAACTACTGTTGTGTGCTTGTGGCAATCCTAGAACATAAAAAACCCAAATTAGCTATATTTCATATCAAACACAGAATTGTATTATTGATGTCACAGGTTATGCATATTGAGTGCATACTTGAACATATTCTATATATAATAAATGCACAATGGTACATATTTTCATATTCTACAAATAACCACTACGCAATCTGTTGAGTGTTGGGCCATTCAAATAATGACATTAAGATTTTAGTCTAGATACATTACATAACTTGATATAACTTGTACGTATTTATGATGAAACTTCAAATGCATTTCTAACACTTATATTTTGACACAATTACATTTTCATTTTTTCTACAGGAAAGTCGGTATACAGCATGCTTCAGAGTCTGTGTTTGTGAGACTGTGTTACAAACTTGGGTTCCCACAACAAGTGATTATGAGGAGGGAGATCGTGGACATCGATCAGATATTGAGAAACCAAATGACACTTTCAAGAGACGAAGACAGGATGATGGCCAGTGGTAGTAGCAGAGAAGGATTCAGGCTAAAAGAATCAGATGTAGACGTTATGCGCTGGCCAAATGACCACATGGTAATATGGGAGTTAAACCAGGCTCAGAATTACGACTTAAGTAGAAAAACATTGATTATCTGTGATTGTTCTGATAGCCCACCAGGATTTTCTTTACTTGAATTACTGACACCAACACATAGGAAATATTTAGGAAATGCATGTATAAGAATAAACAGTAGACTCTATGTATCGAGTTCAAAATATAGACAGATTACATGTTCAAAAGATGTGCCCAATTCTAAGGAGCATGGTCCATGTAGTAGTGGTGTTAAATGGGGAACAGAGTATGACCATGCCCACTGTCTTGCCTGTGATTTTTGGCCTCCTCCTGCATCCCAATGGATAGACAGATGTCAGTCATGGCCCCCGTCTTATATTGTTGATGACATAGTCAGAAATGGTTGCCACTTTGTGGCAATAGGACACAAATTAGGAAAAAACGCAGACAAAGAATGGAGAATTTCGTTCTCTTTGGCAGAACAAAAACTTGTCTACTCAATGAATCATTGTCAATTCTTAACCTATGTCTGCTTAAATTGTTTTTAAAAGATTTTGATAAAAAATTCAGTGACGAGGATAAATTATTATGTTCCTATCACATGAAGACAGCAGTTTTCTGGGTGATTCAACAAAACACAATACCTCATTGGCATCCACAAAATCTCCTGGAGAGTTTTTGGGTCTGTTTTAAGCTTATCCTTAAATGGGTGTATGAAGGGGTATGTCCAAACTTTTTTATTCCAGAAAACAACATGTTTCTGAGTAATATCCATGGTGAAGCACAAAAGAATTTATTCATTCACCTTCATGAATTTTATGAGAAGGGTATAACATCATTGCTTCGTATTCCATCTATCAGGTCCAGTTTTCCAAGTGTCCATCTAAATCCCAGACAATTTGTTGCCACAGATGTACACATTCTGACCTCTAGGGTTTTATTGGAAGTAACTCTATTCCATGAGTTGTTTGTCAAAAATCTACCGGCATTTAACCTGCACCGATGTATGAGGTTCTTCAATGCTCTAGAGAAGTTGATAAGTTCACACCTGACTAAGAACCAGATTCTCATACTACGGAAATTTACAGTCACTGTACTCCAGAACATAGCTTTTATGTTATACAACTGTTTATAAGTTTTTGCACCACCCGATGTCTGTACTAGCTCTGTTGTAAACAAATGGGCATATCTGGCTAATAAAATATCTACTTATATGCTGAAAATGGCAGAAAAGTTTGGATGTATTTCTGATATGTTGTACATTGCAATGTTTTATTACAAGTCATTTAGATATGAAGAAGCCCTATCAGTTGTAGAAATGACAAAGGTCAAGTTAGCTCAACCACACGTAATGTATGTCTCACAAGATAACATACAACTAGACAGGAACATGTTGAGTAATTTCAAAAGGGGACAGTCTTTGTCTACAAAGATGAGACATGCTGTAGCATGGAATATTAATCTGTGCAATGCAGTCTGTTACATAAATGAATTAGTGCCAGAACAACAGTCTGGGTACCAGTTTGGATACTCTTTGTTAGAAATCCCACTGTATGTTCTGTTACACATGTTAGAGATCTTGTGTTACAGACATGTAGACCCAGTGAAAGCACAAACAGCACTAGATGTCTTACAAGACCTTGTCCACCATGAACAGGGGAAATATGTACCTGTAAATTACAGAAACATATACTGGGAGATTCTGGGGATCTGTCAACAGGTTACAGGAAACCATCAAGCTGCTCTGTACTCCTACCAACAATCTCTCAAACAAGTGACATACAACAATATACAAAGTGCTACATTGATAAGAATACAGGAAATCATGGGACTCATGCATATAAATAAGAAATAATTAATTATCATGATTGTTACCTGTCGGAGATCAGCACTTCAGAAGTTTTGTTTGAGTTGAGTAAAAGAGAAAAAACTCTGATCTCCCTCTTTTCCTCACTATAAATTTCTTTTTCATTTTTAGTATGTTATTGAAATGTGTTTTTGTTTTTCTCAAAAGAAATGGAGAAATTATCTGGTTCCTATGACAATCTTCTATGTAAATATATAAAGGAATCCTAATCATGTTTTTGTTGTTTGTAAATAAAGTTTGTGAAGCGATGATTCATTTCACTTAATCTAGGTAATCTATAATATGACTTTCACTTCCTTTAAGGTAGATCCGTTCTTTCAAATTTTTCTGTAGTACTGATACATTTTTAATTTGAATACCTTGAACAAGTAAAAAATTAACTAATACGGTTAATTTTCACACAAAATGAAAATATTTGAAATATTTATTAGATAACATTACAAATTGATGTTGAATCCATCTAAGTCTTTCAGGAAAAAATCTCAAAATATTTATATTTTTTATAATTATCAAAATCTTAAATGTTTATATACCATCTTTTTCTTTACAACTATTAAGAAGTTTATCAAAAGTTAGCAACAAGAGGCCCAGGGGCCACAGCGCTCACCTGAGCACAACAGCTGGAAAAAGCACATATCAGATCAGAACTGAAAGTTTACAGAGGTTAGCAGGGGGGCTTGAATTTTAACCCTCCAGGGGATCATGATTTGAACGAACTAGAATCTTCACTATCTTAGGATGATTCCATATAAATATTACTAATCATGGATTTGAAGTACTTGAAAAGAAGATTTTAAAAAGTATCCCCTATATATTCCTACGTAAAATTTTGGCCCCACCCTAGCCCCGGGTGTCATGATTTAAACAAACTTAAATCTACATTACCTGATGATATTTCACATGAGTTTCATCTTCCTTGTCTCGATGGTTCTGGAGAAGAAGATATTTAAAGATTTTTCCTATATACTCCTATGTTAAACTTTGATCGGCCAATTTGGCCCCACCCTACCCATGGGGATCCTGATTTGAACAAACTTGTATCTACGCAACCTGAGGATGATTCCACATGAGTTTCATCTTTACTGTCCCAGTGGTTCTTGAGAAGAAGATTTTTTAAAAATGCCATTATTTTTTTTATTAATTCATAATTATCTTCCCTTGAAAAATGGCATGGCCCTTCATTTGAACAAACTTGAATCCCCTTTACCCTAGGATACTTTGTAGCAAGTTTGGTTGAAATTGGCCCAGTGGTTCTTGAGAAGAAGATGAAAACGACGACAACGACGACGACGACAGACAAAAAGTAAAATTTAAAATGATGATATAGTCTAAAATCAATAGAAATCAAGCAATTGAAAATTTTGTGTCCGTGTATGTACTAAATTACATGTAGATCCTTTGGACAGAGTGCAAAGTGTTAATTTCCAAAAATAATCTATGTTAAATGCTTTAGATGCACAATGACACTATAATAAACAAATATATATTTGAAAATTAGTTTCAGTCATCCAAAAAGATTTTATTTCAATAGACAAGTGATAATCATAATTTTATATTGATGTGTAAAATTATAGCCGAATCCGTAAAAATATGGACCTTCCTGAATCCCTCCCACGTTATAAAAAGAATTTAATTTAAAAAGCAATAACAGAGGCATTCTATTGAGTGTCTTCTTTTATCACATGATTAATCCTTTATCCTGTGTATGAAGAAGGAAATGGAGATAACGAACAGTATTCAATATCAAAGTCCATAAAACAATACAAAACAGGAGCAGAGCAAAGAAGGACCTCCGATATATCAGCGGTCGGATCAGTTGTTATGGAGGAGTGAGCATCCCCTGCTGACAGGTCACACCCGCTGTGTGTTCCTTGTCATCGTTAGGAAATAACGGAAAAATCCGTCGTCAATTCAGTGTATAAATAATGGACTAACAATTGGTATGAAAAACGTCTGTCAGCATTTGGCTCATTGATAAATTTTATTTGCTGAGAAGGTCATTGTATCGACCATAGAACTTACGAAATGATGACTTTAAACGAGACTGGTGATACTCTTCTTTCATTAATTTGTTTGTCAGTAATTTACCTCGTTTTAGAAATTGTTCATACGTAGAGCAAGCTCTTGCGTATCGAATCAACTGAGATGTATAAACTATGTATGCAGGTGATGAAGGTATATTGCTGCATAAGTAAGGGGGGCTGACGATAGAAAAGTTATAGTCATCACGTTTATCATATAGCTTGATTGATAGATTACCAATAACGTCTTATTACAGTAAAATATCCAAGTATGAAACAGATCTGTAAGACCCTGTGGTATCTTTTATCTTCAAGCTCTCCAGGATATATCGTATCGACGTAGGAATGGAAATTACTATTGTTAATTGACTATACGTCGTCGGCATATCTAAATGTTGAGTTGAAGGCAACAGCAAGTGTTTTCTTCTTTTCATGCGTACGATTTTGCACAAAATATGCTTCATATGAATATAAAAATAGGTCCGCTGAAAACAGAGCGCAATTGGTATCCATGGAATTTCTAATAGATTGTTGGAATACCTGGTCTCCAAAATCTACATAGATATTGTCAATCAGAAACTCAAGCATCTCTTTGATGTCAACTTCAGAGTACTTGTGTGTGCATTCAGAATGTGTTTTAATAAAATAATTTTACAAATGACCAATGACGGGTAAGTAAATTTACGAGTTCCGTTTTTATTGAAAAAGCAGCTGTCAATGATATCAAAAAGCCTTGGCTTTAATTTATCGTAGGGAATGGTTGTATATAAAGTTGAAAAGTCGTATTTAAACTGTTGATTGTGGTAAAATCTTGATTTTTTCAAATTTTCAAAAAGTTCTTTGGGATTTTTGAGTATCCACATCAGATTCACACCACTTCTTGAATATATTGTTGCACAGTACTACTGAAGTTTTTCTTTCACTACTGTCAATATCTTATTGGGGAGTAACGAAAGAGGCTTGGTTGAACATTTACTGGAACCCACAATGTATCTTTGTTTGTAAAGATTTTTTATGAAGTTTCGGAATCCAATATTGATATAGGGTAATTCAAATTCCGTTTGGCTCTGTGGAATATTAAGATATTAAGTATGAGTATAAGTAGGATTACCACTTGTAGAATTAAATCCAAGTTTTTCTAAAATACAATTTATATAACAAACCTTACAAACAAAGACAATATTGTCGCCTGCTTTGTCGGCAGGTACCAGTACGCACTGATCATGTAATCTATGTAATTCTTTTTTCGCTTCTGGATTACTGAACACAGAAGAGTAGATGGTTTTCATACTGCCCCTCAATCTTTTTATACGTGACTTTAACATAGATATCACTCAATAGATATTTTTATATACCATTGTCGTGACATCACAATGGTTTTTGCGTGAAAATAATGAAGTAAAATAATGTGGATACATGTGTAATAAGAGGTCCAAGGACCACATCGCTCACCTGAGCACTTTAGCTAAAAAAAAAACAGAAATCAGTTTCAATATTTAAAAGTCTGGAGATGTAAGTGCCTCCAACTACTCCCTGTGTTCATGATTTGTACAAATTTGAACCAAAACCCCCTGGTATTAATATTGCTTCCATATTTCTTTGATTAATCATGGCCTTTAGAAGATTTTAAAAGATTTTTTTACTATAAGTTTAATTTTCTATTGTGATCTCGCCCTAACCCCAAGGGTTGCGACGGTACATTTTGTTGTTTTGGACATATTGCCGTCATCGACAATATGTACCTACTTTTACTGCATATTTTACCGCCCATCGGTACATATTGTCACCGACTGAAAAGTTACGCATGTGCATATTGTCACTGGAGACATGTTACCTTACTTCACTGCACCTATTGTCACCCCACAGATATTGTTGCTTAAAGATTTTATTGTTTTTGTTGTTGTTGTGGTTTTGTGAATTTACAGAATGTAATCGATGTTTAAATCACATTGACATGCCTTGTATGCTAATTCGTGCAGCGCCATTGTGATGATACATATTGTCGTCCTGTTAATATCGTCGCTGGCGACAGTATGTACCTACTCGTCTATCGGTACGAGTCACAAAACAATTCATGACAATGCTTCCATATAAATGTAAGTAATCATTGCGTTGCATTTCATTAGAAAATGTTAAATTTTCCCATACATTCCTATGTAAGACTTCAATCGCCCATTGTGGTCCCACCCTAGACCCAGGGTCATAATTTGATTGATTGTATTCAAGGTCCCATTCAAGACTATGGAG